AAAAAAAAAAGTTTAAAATAGACTGTTTTATAAGGATAAAGGATAAGATAGATAATGACTGTTTCACACTATAAAATTTTGATCAGTGACAGAAGATTTTTTTTCATGTAATTCGTCTTTTGATTTCCTGACTGCTGGTGACAAGCATACTGACTGTGGAGTCAAGCAAGCTGAAATTGTCAACAGTCTGGATCTCTTCACCATCTATCATGATTCTGCCAGTTGGTCCAATGATGAGGTTCTTTGTTTTGTTGATATTGAGCTTCAATCCACATTGAAGACTATAATCCTTGGCTTTCTACAACAAGTGCGTTAGGTGTTCCTCAGTTTCAGCAAGCAAGATTGTGTCATCCTGATGTAAAATTCCTCCTCATAAAGTCCAATCTCCTGAATAATCCGTTTTACATATAGATTGAAAAGGTATGGAGACAGGACACAATCCTGACACACTCCTTTCCTAATTTTGAACCATGCAGTGTTTCCTTGCTGTGTTCTGAGGACTGCTTCTGTCCCAGGTATAGAAGTTTTTTTGCATAAGCACAATCAGTTATCCTGGGATCCCCATTCTTCTCAAGATTAGCCATAATTTGTTGTGATCCCCACAGTAAAACGCCTACTCAAACTATCTATATTTAAAAAAAAAAAGCAAACACCAGAAAAAGAATAAACAAGCAAGTAAAAAGGCACCTCTCTGCCGTCCATTTAATTCTGACTCACGGTGACCTTCCAGAGGGTTTGCAGGAATGTGACTCTTGCTGGGAAGAGACTACCATCTAGAAACTACCCTAGGAACAGTTGGTGGATTAGGGACTCCAAACTTTTGGTCAGTGGTCTAACATATAATATACTATGCCGCCACACAGGCTTGGTACATAACTTTATTTCCTTGAGGATAACTGGTTATGGTGGTACAATGGTTAAGCATTAAGCTGCTGGCCATTGGGACCCATTCAGCAGCTCTGAAGAAGAAAGCCCTGGTAACACGCTTCCTCAAATTGCTGCCAGGAAAACGGTGGAGAGGTGCCTTAGATCTGTTACTCAGGATCACACAGACTCAGACCGCGGTAAGGTGTGCCTCGGCTCTGTCATTCAGGATCTCTATGAGTTGGAATTGATTCTACAGCATCCAACAACAACGACTGGTTGGAGGAGGTAAGTACGATTACATGCAGCCCCTGTGAAGAATGAAGATGTGGCCTGTGCTTACCTGTACCTCCCAGGCTCCCTGCTGTACAGGTCCATGGTTTGTCGGAAGCGCCGCAGAATGTCGTGCATTCCCACCTGCGTGGTGGTGAAGTCATGGTACAGATCCAAGTAGTCTGTGATCATGTCCTTTAAAAACAGAGCAGCGCAGTCACAGTTCACTCACTGGTCAAGTGTTCACGCTGGTTTCATGTGACCCTAGACTTCTCCTGAAAAAGGCTCAATCTGAGACATAGCATGCTCAAAGACTGGAGAATATACCTGGCTAGAAAGAATTCATTTTACTGAGGGGAAGGGTTTTGAGGGGAGAAAAGTCTAACAATGAATGAATAGAAATCCAAAGTCTCTGTAAATTTTCATTGAAATGAGTAATAAATTTTAAAAAATAGGTATTCATGATCCCAAAATGTTTACTAAGCTTTGTAAATTTATAAATGCCTTCTCAAACTATATCCTTATGATGTTTTTGTTTTAAGAATAAATTTAAGATAATAGTTGTTTAAACAAAAAAAAAGAAAGCATTCATTGCTTGAACTTTATAAATCTATTAAATAATATTTCTCTAACATAACTGCTACTTGATACAGGCTATGGTCTTTGCAATCACTTGTTATGCATCAGAGAGTTGAACAATGACTAGGAAGGATAGGAGAATTGGTGCATTTGAGCTGTGGTGCTGGAGAAGAGTATTGAATGTACCGTGGACTGCCAAACAAACTGATTCTTCCTAGAGAGGCAAGGATTCTGGGGTTTTGTCTGACATACTTTGGACATGTTGTAAGGAGGGACAGGTCCTTGAAGAGGGACATCATGCTTGGGAGGGTGGAGGGACAGCGCAAGAGGGGAAGACCCTTCATGAGGTGGATTGATTCAGTGACTGGGGTAATTGGGATGGGTGTGTCAGAGGCAATGCGATTGGCACAGGATAGAGCAGGGTTTAGGGCAGTTGTACATAGGGTCGCTATGAGTCACAGGCGACTCGATGGCACATCACAACAACAACAACTGCTACTTGGCCATTTTCCCATTCAAATATTGACTACAACTGTGTTTAACACAGATCTTCCTAAAGATTTCATTAGCAATATAAATCCACTCTACTGGACTGTCCTAAATGCTTCAGACACTTTTGAAAACAAATAAAAGCTACCTGAATAATTAAATATCTTATTACATTTGTACATAATCTGGTGACAATATTAAACTATGCATTTAAGTTTATTTCTTCATAACCACTGTCTTTAATTGTTCTTAGGTTCCTTCAGGGTTTCAGTCATTTTACCAGCTCTTCCTTTCTATGTTATAGTAATCTAGAACTCAAAGCAAATGCTTACATCCCATCCACATCAGAGTTGTAAATCCTAAATTGGGGCATGGACAAAGTAGATTATCCAAAGCTGAGTTGCTTTTATCAGTCTGGGTTCCCTTCACACAAGTGAACTTCTTTTGCAAGATCAAAGTTTTTTTAAGAAAAAATCTAAAGTTTGTCCCTGAAATTAATGGTAAGGGATAACATTTTAGCTAATGTGATCTTTTAAAGTAATTTAATTCTGCAAACACCTTAAATTTTGCATTCATCTTCAGTAGCACACAAAACCCCTGGGCATGTGGTTAGGCAGGAAACTCATGCCTGCCTCATGACATGAAAGCTTTTTGTATTCAGCAAAGGTATTGCAAGAGTTCTCCTTTAAAGCAAAACTCTTACCTTTAGGATAACAGACTAAAATATCACTTGTTTTCCTCCTTCACTTTTCCTTTTTCTTGGAAATCAGTGCCACCCCAAAATTTGACTTAGTTGTAAACCCTCCTTACATGATGTGCCTTCATCGTTATCCCCCAACCAACCAACCTCTCTTTACCCAGTAGGCTAATTGATCAATTGTAATAAAGTTACAAGTTCCCATGATACTACTCAGGAGAAAGGCTAGATGATAATTGTGGTATTATTCATTTTATTTGTTTAACTTGGTAAAAAGAGCATACATAGGTAACCAGTTTAGATCCCCCCCCCACATTACATCATAAAGATTCACTTATATTGTTGGATATTCCCTTACTCTATCACAAGGCTAAATTTTCACTGTGTGAATATAGAAATCCATCATTTGGGAGTGTATTTTAGGACTGCCAACTTGGCTTTGGAGGAAAAAAGTGACCCTAGACTGGTGGACAGCCAGAGGAGCAAGCTGGCACAGGAGTGTCACCTCGCATGTGTGACGTGAGATGAAGCGTGACAAGCATGAGTGTGGAAGCACAAATGAAAGCCAGCCCACTGGTCACAAGTGTACCCCAACTCATCATGCCCCCAGGATAGGAGAGAACTGCCCCATAGGATGCCCAAGGCTGCAAACATTTAGAGGCACACTCTGTCACATGTAAAATAGCTGGCGGATTTGAGACACCGAACATGTAGTGCCTGCATCACTGCACCACCAGGACTTGGGGAAGCGTAAAATCCTAAATTCTGCAGCTACATATCCTAAATTCTGCAGCTTGGAATTCTATTTCATATCTCTGTAATCCCTAATAAATGAATCTCATTAAGATTTGCTAAATGAAGATAATGGACCCTCTCTCAGAGTTGAGATAATGAAGAGGGTTAGATGAGCTATAAATAAATAGCATAGAGCACACAACAAACGTTAGCAGAGTCATTTCCTTCCCTCTGTCTGTGCATTAACGAGGAGAAACTAAAAACGGAGGATTCCTCACTTCAGCACAACCACTGCAAGGATGTTTTTCTCCTGGTTCAGATGCCACTGTCCCCAGCCCCCTTGTCACTGGCAGGACTCTTCCAAGGAGCCCTCACACTAGAATGGACAATGGAAAGAAATAGCTGGATATATGCATTTGAACATATATATACGTATTTCCCAAAGAAAATTTTTTAGAGCGCCTCCCATAGAGCAGAGCTCATCCCCTGTAACCTGTACCTCAAGCTAGAAGAGAAAATACTGATAACATTTTCAGAGACAACAAAACAAAACTTTACCGGATTTTGGCTCTTGTTCACTGGAATCTCATTTCTCAGATGTCTTGCTTCCAGAAGAAATTTAACACCATCGAAACTAAAACCATCAACACCCTTCTCAAGCCAGTATTGCATAATTTCCTAAACATAAAGAAGCAAAAGACATTACACTAGCTTTGTTTTGTGATATGAATTTTTCAAGTTTGTTTACATTACATTTTGTCATGAATTTTAGTAAAATTATGTTGATGAATTTCTAAATGCTCTGCATATAAAGCAAGCACAAAAGGCCCCAGTGCTGTGGAGTGGATTACAACCCAAATCAACCCTCCATGTGGCTTCTCAGGCTGTAAAGGGAGAAGACTTCTCATCTTTCTCCCATTGACTGGCTGGTGAATCTGAACATGCTTCACTCGCTGTGCCATCAGGGCTCCTTAATGAAAGCACAATATCCATATATTACATTTTAACTATTTAGCACAACAAGGACTTAATATAATGACTAATTTAGTCGCTGTACTGGTGTTGTAGAAGTGCACTGAACCTCTCATGGACAGCCAAGAGAACGAGCAGATATGTCTTGGAGAGAGTGCAGCTGGAGTGCTCCTTGCAGGCCAAGACGATGAGGCTTCACCTCACATTCTTTGGGCATGTAGCCAGGAAGGGCTATTGCTAGGATAAGGATGCTGGGAAAGATGGAGGGTTGGCAAAGGAGAGGAAGACCCTCAACCAGGTGGACTGACACAGTGACTGCTGCACTGGGTTCTTGTGTGTCAGGAAGTTTGAGGATGGCACAGGATAGTACAGGGTTCAGATCTTGTGTTCATAAGGTTGCTGTGAGTCCTACTTGACTCGATGGCACCTAATAACAACATCTCCTTTAAATTTTTAATAGTAGTTTATGGGAAAATAAACATAAAATGCAGCATTTTGGGCCATTGTTAACAATTTAGTGATATTAAATATATTCATAATGTACAGCAATCATCATTATTTACCTCTGGCCAATTCTCATTACCCTGAAGAGAAGACTTGTACCAATTAAGCAGTCATTCTTCCCTGTCTCCTCAACCCCCTGTAACCATTCATCTCCTGTTTGTATGGCTTTGTTTATTCTAGATATTTTCTAGAAATTATATGACACTGTGGCCTACAATTGACTTCTCTCATTCAGCATAATGTTTTCAAGCTTCATCTGTGTTATAACATGTTAGTACCTCATTCCTCTTGATGATGAAATTATATTCCACTGTCCATATATAACATTTTTATAATCTATTTACCTATGTATTTGAGTGGTTTAGCTATGGTCAATAATATTACAGTGAACATTCGGGCACATTGTTTTTGCAATACTTGTTTTCAATTAATTTCTTTCAACTCAGGTTTCAGCCTGGAACTTATCCATCTTTGATCTTTTACCAAGGATTTTTCCAGTGCTGAAGCTTGACGGCACAAAAACAAAAAGTCAAAAGTTGATTTGTTATAACTATTAATAAGAGATAATTTTCTTATGATGCCTTTGACTTTACTATCAAAGTTATGCTGGTCTCATAGAATGAGCTACAGAAGTATTGCTTACTTGTCTATTGTTTGAATAGTTCGAGATGAACTGATATTTTTAAATGTATGGAAAAATCCACTAGTAAAACTTCTTGGACCTAGGGTGGGTTTTTTGTTGGTTTGGGTTTTTTGTTTGTTTGTTTTATTACTGGTCCAATCTCTTTAATAGTTACCACTCCTTTCCATTTTCTATATACTCCTTGATCAGCTTGATTATTTGTGTGATTGTATGAATTTGTCCATTTAATCTAGGTGGACAGTTTAATTTTTTGGTATTTAAATTGTTCCTCATTGCATTACACTATAATTTTTATTTCTATATGGCCAGTAGAACCTTACAGAAGTAAAATAACTTACAGAAGTTAGGGAGAGCTAATGACATAGTGCATAGGGAATTGCACAGCCAACCCAAAGACCAAACCTCTGGCTGTTCAAATTCTCCAGCTCCCAGCAGCTACCTGTAAAAAAATGGGCAATCTCTTCCCACGTGATTTAGAACCCTGGAAACCCAGTGAGAATCAGCTGTGAGTCCAGGGCATGGCCTATGACACACCAGCATTGAATAGAGTGCAAAGTCATTAGTAATCCCATCACTTTCACTACTAATTCTACAAATTTAACTGTAGTGAGTTGCTTTCATAGTTAAAAAAGCCATTGCTAGATCCATCTTGAAGTACAATATTGTGAGTGACAGGATAATATCCATACGCATACAAGGAAGTTCAGTGAATACCACTATCATTCAGATATATGCACCGACAACCAGAGCCAAGAAAGAGGAGATAGAAGATTTTTACCTACTTTACAATCGGAGATCGATCGAACATGCAATCAAGATGCATTGATAATAACGGGTGACTGGAATGTAAAAGTTGGGAACAGAGAAGAAGATTCAGTAGTTGGAAAACATGG